AGAGAGAGAGAGGGGGGGAGAAAGAGAGAGAGTGAGAGAAAGAGAAAGACAGATATGGAGAGAGAGAAAGAGACCGCACGAGAGAGAGAGAAAGTGAGAAAAATAGAGAGAGAGGGAAAGTGAGAAAGATAGAGAGAGAGAAGAGGGAGGCCACTTCAGATACAACATCCAACACCTAAAAGCAACCGCCTGCACACCATTGTATTTGTTAAACTATTTTCAAAAACACACACACCACACACCCCTCCATGTGCACGTTAAACACGGGAGGCAAAACGTAAGGCACTCCCACCCGCTCGCTAATTTGTCGTGTGGATAGGTGCTAAAAGCCAGCCCAGCACGCGAGTGATAATGGCGGCGAGAGACAACTAGACTTGTGTTAGGACCAAAGAGGTGTGGCTGGGACAAACATCGTGCACACGCGAGTCAACAACGCCGGGGGAGGTCGGCCGCTGCTGCTAACCTTCCTGACAGGGGGGAAGGGGGGAGGAGAGGAAGCCACGGGCACAAACTTTGTTCTTACACCTAGATCCATTTTTGGTTTAGTAGGAGTTTTACCGCACTCGCAATACAATTAAGTCATATAAGTGGCGAGGACTAGAGGTACTACAATAGAGTATCCAACAAACAAAAAGGACGATAGATGTTTGAAAGAAAAGATGGAGCAAACCACACCAGAGCACCCGCCAACCACCCACTGATAGATAGATAGATAGATAGATAGACAGAGAGAGAAAGAAAGAGAAAGAAAGAGAGAGAGAGAAAGAGAGAGAGAGAGAGAGAGAGAGAGAGAGGTAGGGGGAGGAGGGGGACATGACAAAGAGAGGGTCAAGGTGTTTTCCCCACTATGCCGGAGCCCTCATAATTTGTTATGACGCCTCCTATACTAGTGTCATACACGCCACTAAATAATTAAAATTTGGTCATTAAATCAGAACAGAAGAATCTATTTTAATAGTTCTTCATTCAATGAAAGAACTGTCGGTAAGAGAGACTTATTTTCGACAATGGCTGAAAACTAATATGTCGTCGTCGCAACAGAATTTGACCAAGCCGCTGACAGCAGATCACCGACTTGCCAGAGATATGGAGTTAAACAGAAGCACAGTAACCCTACATTCTCTTTGCACATGAAAACTACAACCTGTACGTTGCTGTTGTTGCTACTGGTTTATTTTGTCATCATTACACATTACAAAAAGGGTTGGTAAAACAACTGCTTCGTCTTGATTATAGTAAGAGTTTTACGCACCTGCAACACAAATAGGTTATTATATAAAAAGAGAAGCATGGCAAGAAAAGAAGGAGGAAAGATAAGAATGATAATAGATGTTTCATAGGAAAGAAGGAGCAACCACCCACCAGAGCACCCGCCAACCACCCCCCCTCCAAAAACAACCTCCATACCTCAACAGGAACGGATAAGGGCCACTAGTAAGACTGAAAGGAAGTAGACGAAACAGAAGTGCCCACTAGCCATTCCCACTATGATAGAGAATATCACAGAACATGTCGCTACCTCAAAATTACAAAGTTTTATCTGACATTTTGGCCGTTTTGAGTCACTAAGATCATGAGGTTTGAAACCAAATGTTCTCTCTGCTCTATAAAAATCGTATGATTATTCAGAGTTGTTATCAAGATATTCAAAGAACTGCATTAGAAAAATCCTGAAATATTGTGAAACAACATTTTTTACATCCAATTTCTCAAAACTAGGAACTCAGCAGACAGAACTTTGTAATTTTGAGACAGCAATGTGTAGAGGGGCCTGTTACACAGTGAAGGGATATCCTGAACAGGTGAGATCAAACATACACCAAAGGGCGAGAGCCCAGCTGTTGTTGGATCGATAACAAGAACAACAAACATACAGGAAGGACAACATCTTATCACTTTTATTATTCATGCAGCAAGACCTGTTTTAAAACACTCCAAGAATAGAAATAGTTTAGTTTAGTTTTAGGAGAGGTTTTACGGCGCTCGCAACTGCATAAGATTATATGAGCGCCAGGAGACTAGAGGTGTTACAAGAGAGTAACAAACATAAAAAAGAAGGGGATATAAGGACGACAGATGCTTCAAAGGAAAGAAGAAGCAAACCACACCAGAGCACCCGCCAACCACCCACATGAAGAGTTTAAGATTAAACGAACACAAGGATGGGACAAACACAAAATATCCCCCCTATATTCTTGAGGTCCAGGGTCGAAACATAGCAGATCCTGTTCCGACAGGGTGCATTTATCCATGGAGATTCCACGACTTCAAAAATTGTTCATTTGTCGACACCCTTACAAAAAAGGTCAAACAAAGACGTCATCCCCTACTCTGCCATAAGCAGACGAAACATCTTGATTCACAATAGTTTCGAAAAAAAGAGGTTTTTTTCTTGTCAGCTTGACTATTAAAAAATAAGTGCTTCCGAAATTTGAATTCCAATTAATTGAAAAACTAGTCACAGATCGCTTTGCTTTTTTTCACACAAGTAGCAAGGTAACTGGTCAGGCTTTCGATTTAGCAAATAAGAAATCTCTGGCGCCAAAATGAAAAACAGTAGTCTTTACGGCAGTACTGTGATAGTCAAACTGTGCGGACATGGAACAAAACAGACATTAAAAAAAAAAAGTAACCGAACAAGGGGGAAAAAGTCAACGAGTGGTGTAAGGGAGATAACCAGCATTTTTTGGGAATGATGACGACGCACCAAGTCGCTTTGCACCAGTTGTCTCCCCTGCTTTAGGGAAAGCTGAGCCAGTAAACCAGGAATGGATAGTTTTAGTAAGAATTTTACGGCACTTGCAACACAATAAAGTCACATAAGAGCTGAAGATTAGAGGTGTTACAAGAGAGAGTAACAAACACAAAAAAGGAGAGATAAGGATGACAGATGTTTGTTACGAAAGAAGGAGCAAACCACACCAGAGCACCCATCAAAGATGTCCAGTTTGTCATTTTTTTAAAAAATAGTTGACAAAAGAGAAAGGAAATACGAAACAATGAGAAGAGACAGACAGACAGACAAGAAGAAGGATAGAGAAAAGATAAGACAGGAGGAGGAGGAGAGGAATAAAAGAGAGGAGAGAGGAGAGAGAGAGAGAGAGAGAGAGA